TTATATATATATATATATATGCATATAATATTCTGTGAATTATATTTTATATTATATGTATAAAATATAATTTATAGAAAAAATAGTAGTGTGATGCAGAACTTTTCAGCTGCATTGCAGCAATTCTATTAACGATTTTAATTTTATTTTATATCTTTACTTTTTTTTATTTCGTCAATTTGCTTGTCCTTGCATGGTTTTTGGATCCATCCACCACATTCTTGAATCATCAATGTGACTAACATTGGTGTAAAATATACTCTACGGCGAAATCTCGCAAGAATACGTTGCATGTCGAAGCAAAATGAATTTAATTGTATGGATGGTTCCGACAATCAAGCATGAATCAAGCGCGACATTATTCTCAAAGGAAAACCGAGAGAGAGAAACAGGGAAGAAAAGAGATCTTTGAAGGATTGCCAGATGGAACGGCGGGCCTAACTCGAGCTCGTTCCAAGAGTTATACATCACGCTCGTTTGTCCTTTGAGACTGCTGTCGGTGACGTTGTTGCAGCGGTCGACGGAGAAAAATTACATTCCGCGAAACGCGTTTTGCAACGCGAGACGTAAAATACAATTTAATATCTTTCAACATATATATTTGCATTTCCGCAATAAATGAAATTTGCCATCGCAGGTGCATTTTAATGTACTTATTCTGCGGTAAATGGATTTAAAAAAAGTAAAAAGAGCTTTTCATCTCAATTAAAAACACAATGTTTTTAAAACAGAAGTTGAAACGGAATAGTTATATAAATTTTAATTGTTTAATAGTTTTGTTTAATAACTTTTAACTGCTAATTGTTTAAATTAATAACCGTTAAATGTCTGGACGTACTTTCTTTTCTGATTTAATAAATTGATGATATTGATGACAATAAATTAGTTCCATTTACGGGCCGGTGAACACACATTTTTAACGCCATGTAATTGTTGAAAACGAGCTTTCGGCCGCGAATGTCGCCGGAAGCCGGCGACGATAAATTTTCTCTGTCACCGCTTGATCGGCTTGATCGTTTTCGTTTCCTGTAGTCCTGTAGTCCTTGTGTCCTTGGTTTGGTAGCTAGAGCCGTGATATACACTACCTAAGTTAAGACACGAGAGCCGCCACGAGTCTGAGAGCTAGTGAGAGACAGAGAAAAAGAAAGAAAGAGAGAGAAAGAGAGAGAGAGAGAGAGAGTGAGAAAGAGAGAGGCAAAGAGCCTTTAAAAAGAGGTAATGCGATGGCGACGAATACGACGGAATCAAGCAACGTTCGGAGCGGCTATCGTTGTCACGTTTTCGGCGACACCGAGCTTTGCATACCCGAGAGATACGTCGACGTCGTACCGCGTGGCGTCGGCGCTCAGGGTATCGTCTGGTGAGTAAAATCCGTGGCTCGTATGATGGATCATACGCTGCGAGTGTGTCTATTTTTCTGTCTCTTCCACTGACCGTAATGCAGCCTCATTTTAAATGTCAAAGACAGCGTTTTTATATCACATCTAAGTGTATTAAATTTGCCAACAGCCACTACTGAAAATTTCGTGCTCATCCTATGCTACCTTTGCATTCCACAATAGAGTCTCCTCATATTTTAGTAGCTAATATTCTTCTTTGCAATTTCTTTTCTCGAATTAAACTTCAAAGCAAAGGTATTATTTTCGTATATTTGTACCGAGAACTTTTTCCCCCCGATAAAATATGTGTGCTCTGTGTTTCAATATGGCTTTATTGAATCGATAGCTTTCTTTTTTAATCAGAAGTTTCCTTGATGCTTATATAAACGCATCGTTGACGTATTAAAGTGAGAGGTTCTTAAGTAAATTTATAATACAAATTTTTAATCGATTGAGTATTCAACCGGTTGGTCATTTATTTTATTTTGATTGATATTTAGATTGATTTGCGCGAGATTGAGGCGCATACGAATCGATCGAGCTTGAACTCCTTCTCCATCTCTGTTGTAGCGCGGCATACGATACCGTCACTGCGCAAAATGTGGCGATTAAGAAGCTGTCTAGACCTTTTCAAAACGTGACGCACGCGAAGAGGGCCTACAGAGAGTTCAAGCTTATGAAGCTGGTCAATCATAAAAACGTAAGTTCCTTCTTGCAATCTTGTTTTGACCGCGATCGTTTTCGGTGCGTGATCACTCGTGTACTTTGGTCACGCACGTGTTACATGCATAATTACTCGTTTTACAAGAATTATGTTTTTTGTTATTATATTGTTATATAAGAAAATGTGAAAAATTCTACCATTGTTACTCTTTTCAATTAAAAAATTAAGTACGAGTTAATTAAGTTCGCACAGGAAAAAGACATTCACCACATGGCTAAATGAAAAGATGTTGCAGCAAAGAGAAGCATATCACGAGTAGCTTCTAACTATTATTTTTCTTCGCGCATTAGTAATTGCAATTTGCCTGTACCATAAAATAATTGCTTCTTTTAGAGTATATCTTTAATTAAATTGTAAGTTGAGATTATAATAGCAACTGAAAGTTAAATATCCCAGACATTAGATTTTGCGTTCTAATTGAATTAATAGTTTCCATTTAGCGAAATTTATTTTAATCCTATTTCTCTCTTAATTCAATACTGAGAGTAGAATTGAGGAGTTGGATACAACAACAACAACAACAACAACAACAACAACAACAAAAATAACTTTAACGTAATTCCGTGGAAGAGGCAAGCATAAGATCTGCATAATCTGAGAGGAAGAGAGTGAATTTTAGTAGTCATTTTCGTAGTCATTTATCATATTCAGGCACTGTCCAAGGATTTCGGAGGCGAAATCGGCTCATCAATTTATCTGTCGCCTTGCAGATAATCGGTCTCCTGAATGCGTTTACGCCGCAACGATCGCTGGATGAGTTTCAAGATGTGTATCTGGTGATGGAGCTGATGGACGCAAATCTGTGCCAGGTGATCCAGATGGATCTGGACCACGAGCGTATGTCGTATCTCCTCTACCAGATGCTGTGCGGCATCAAGCACTTGCATTCGGCCGGCATTATCCATAGGGTACGTACAACATTTGCTATTCGCGCGTTGCGCCCCGATGAAAATTGCATAACGACCGGGCCATTTAATCCACCGTAACGAGATTCATTAGCGACGGCCATACCTGCATACCGCATCTCCGGAGTTGCTGTTGTCCCGCCGGCAAAGAATAATTGCAGACATTCTGATTAATTTCCCGGTGCGCCGCGCGTTATAATAGAATAGCTAAATCAGCATAGTGCTCATTAAAAATGCTCGTTAAAAATGAGAACGCGACACAACGATTGCGGAAATGATGCCGCGTAATTGATGATGTCAGAAATTAAAATGCACACAGCCGAAATGTCGTGTCAATGGCGATTAACTGGCTGTATGTACGCTTTCTGATTATTATCAGTTATTGCTCAAATTGTTTAGATTTTAATTTTTGACACTTTAATCTTTTCCCTTATGATGAATTCTCTAGTTATGAGATAAATCTGTAAAATTCGGCTTTGCATAGGATCTAAAGCCAAGCAACATTGTTGTGAAATCTGATTGCACACTGAAGATTCTCGACTTCGGCTTGGCGAGGACCGCCGGTACCACATTTATGATGACACCTTATGTCGTCACACGGTATTATCGGGCGCCAGAGGTGAGTTAGATTTTAGTATTCTTTTATAATTTTTCACGCAGCTTACTTTTGATTAGATTTCTTTTCCTCACTCGGAACGTCTGTCTCTTTGTCAGGTGATTCTGGGTATGGGATACAAGGAGAATGTGGATATCTGGTCGGTAGGCTGCATCATGGGCGAGATGATACGCGGTGGTGTTTTGTTCCCAGGCACGGACCACATTGATCAATGGAACAAAATAATCGGTAAGATACTTTTTACCGACGACAGGATAGAATTATTAATTAATGGTATTTGATATCAACCCGATTTTGTAAAGTAAAATTTTATGAAATAAAATGAAAGATTTAATGTTGCAGAGAATAGACTTAAATGTGGAATAAAATACAATTTTACAGACGTTGCTATTATAATTCATTGTGTAATTGTCTTCAAATTAAATATAAAATAGTGAATGATTTTATTATAATCTAGAAATATTAACAATATTTTATATTTATCATTATTTAATATGTTTAATTGTGTAAGAGTAATTATAATTATCAAATCAATTATCTGATATTTTGAATTTTACAAGGGTAATTAGAGTTATTTTACAGATTTTATAATGCATTTTATTATTTTTATTATGATCATGATTTCTTTACATAGAATCCTTAATAATTTTTACTATGAAATTATCACAATATTGCTTTATAGTTTTCTAAACGTTTTTTTTTATCGCAAAAGAAATAATCGCGATTATTTCGCAGACTTGCTACATTTTATTACAAAAATTATTACAGAAATAAAATAACAGAAATTATTACAGAAATAAAATAGTTACTCTTATTTGCAGAGCAACTTGGCACACCGGCGCAGGAGTTCATGCAACGACTGCAGCCGACCGTCAGAAATTACGTGGAGAACAGGCCGCGATATCCAGGTTATCCCTTTGAGAGGCTATTTCCGGATGTCCTATTCCCCTCGGATTCCTCGGAGCACAATAGATTAAAAGGTGAGTAGGTCAGCAAGTCGACGCCCGCATCGCGAGATTGATCGCGGAACGCGCGCGTTCCGACGTACAGATGATGAGATTATCCGCATTCTCGTCACCGCCTTGCTTTGCCTTACCACCCCCTCGATTCTTCCTTTCATAGTTTTTACTTCCTCTTCCAGCGAGCCAAGCTAGGGATCTATTGTCGCGCATGCTCGTGATCGACCCGGAGCGACGCATTTCCGTGGACGAGGCGTTGCTACACAATTACATAAATGTCTGGTACGACGAGGGGGAAGTCAATGCTGTAAGTAGGCTCTATCGATTGATCGCGTGAATGGACGTGAATTTCCAATCGTGTCATCTGGCTTGATTTAGTAATTTAATTCAAGAAAGTGCATTAAGATCTCCTTCCAGAAAATATATTATTTATAAAATATATGTAATTTCTTAAAATAATAATCATAAAACTTTTTAATAAAACTAATAACAGATTGTCATGAAACAGTTACTTTTAACGTGACGAAAAAATTTCCCAGTCCTTTCTTAACAAAATATTTATATCTCTTTACCCCCCCCCCCTCTTTATCCCCTTCTTCTGTTTGTTTTAACAAAATTGTCATATAACATAAGAATTAATTGTTAATCTTTCTCATCTATGATAATCTACAAAAAAATTTTTAATTTGTCTTGCAGCCCGCACCAGGTCCGTATGATCATAGCGTGGACGAGAGGGAACATACAGTAGATCAGTGGAAGGAGTTGATCTATCAGGAAGTGATGGAGTACGAGACAAGCCACAATTCTGCGGCGGTCGCTCAATCGTCAGAGAGCGCCGGGAGCCGGTAGATACCGCGAAGCAGTAACCCATCCACGAACCTCTTCTCGTCAAGAAAGCATCCGGACAGTCTGACCTACTGTCTAGACATTGCCGGAACGTTATAACGAGAGAGGAAAGGAAAACCAGAAAAAGAAAGGGGTGGAAAGAAAGGAAGAAAAGAAAGAAGATAAATCGACGTCCACAAACCTATCTCCCTCTCCTTCGGGAAGGCAAGAAACGCGAGTGGGAAAAACATGGCAAAGGGAGAAGCTTACTCTATCGAGTGTCGCGGGGGGACAAATCATAGTCTTTTGGCAGTATGTGTGATCAAGTGACGAAACTAGTCTCGAAGATGATCAGTTAATAATTTCCTCGCTCAATCTTCTCTCTCCTGGAACGATCTGGATGACCTGGATAAACGCTCCTGCGGGAGATCAGACTCGCGGCCGCCATACAACACTTTTGAGAGATACCATCGAACATTCAAGACCTTCGTCGCTTTCTTTGCGTTTTGCCAGAGCAATGGAGGTCGGTTGGAAAGGATTACGGGAGATCTCCAGGGTTTGGAGGACAAGCTCGTGGAAAAGAGGATCAGAAAAGATAAAACTGCCCGGATGAAGAAGAAATTCTCGCATTGCGCATTATCGTCTCCTCAACTACTGCCAGTCTGTTGTTGAACGAGCCTCTTCTCTCCTCCCTTCAGTTTATTCGTTTCTTCGATTGACGCGAGCTCTCCGAACGCCTTCTCCGGAAACCCTCAAGTTCTTGTTTCATGGTACGGTATTTCTATCTCGGTTCCTTGCTGCGTCTATTTAACTTTCCTTTTGGAGTTTATTCGCTCTGCGAATCTGAAAGCGAATGTCATGTCGAACTTTTTGATTGTCTCACAATCTTGGACGGTGTTTGTCGTGCATTTCATAGCAATAAAAATTGACGCGAAAGAGAAACGACTTACAAATATCGTTCCCGTGATAGTTTTAAGGTTTTACAATCATTGGAGACTGGATGATCGTTCCTTTAACTTCCGGAAGATTAAGTGATGGATTGATCGCCCGTTACAACTTCCCAGAAGGGCCGATCGAGCGCATTTATCGTTTGCGCGCGAACAACGTATACTATATATTTTTTGTACCATTGTTAAGCACACACGGGAACACATTATTCTGAATCACTATTATAACTTTAACGTGACTACGTCTTATACCTTTTCGAAATACAAGGTACAGAGATACCATGTAAAGAGAGTAAGGAAAAATTTATCACAGAGCTTACAGTCGCTCGATCGTCGTGTCGCGGGTGTAGTGGGCGATCATCAAAACGAAGCTTAGAATTTCGTTTTATTAAGTCGCTGGAAGTCGCGAGAGGAAAATATAAGTTAGGTATATTTGTTAATATTTAATTCATGTGGCTCCGTACAACATGTGCATGCCGCGCAATACAATGAAGCGTGTGAGGCGTGAGGGGAATAGAAGAAATGACGCGTTACACGCCGAGTCTCGAAACCGATCGCTAGGGGAAAGGATGCGATCGACGGTATAGAATTTTTGTACATAATAATTGATTATTGTGAATTAGTACTGTGTGTGAACGAGAGTGTCCGCACGATCTCGCGCGATACTAATTTTTTTTTTGTAAGCGTGTACTTTTCGTTCGGATACTTCGCATCTCCGCTCTGTGTGCTTTCGTCTCGATCGTTATCAGTGCCAGTAGATACGCGATTCATGATACTTCATATTCGTAGTTTTGTAGTTGTAAGAGCAATTGGCGAACATTAATTAATTTTACCGAATCGACAGAGAGAGAGAGAGAGAGAGAGAGAGAGAGAGAGAGAGAGAGA